GTTTCAAGTGAAACTAACAGAAACTAGAAAATACATTTCCTGGATAGAGCTTTGCCTGAAGTTAAGATCATCAGGGAATCCAATGTCTAAACGACAAAAGGCAATTTGGAGAAAATTAAAACTGAAATTCAAAACAACGAAAGAAAAGATACTTCTCCAAATTGTCGATTCCCTGAAGGCAAGAATAAAGGTTTGGACTGAAAGAAAGAAAAAATGGGAAAAGAAAAATAAATTCATCAAACAAAATAAACTTTTTAGAAACAATGAAAAGCACTTCTACAGGCAACTGAAAACAAAGGGTGATGGTGAACATGACAAACGGCCTCCCATGGATGCCAATGAAAGGTTCTGGAAACAGTTGTGGTCTATACCCGGCAACTGTAACCTGGAAGCACCATGGGTCCGTGATTATGGCCATGCAATGCATGAGAAAGTAACTAGGTCGTTTGTCTGTTACATCTCACCAGTTTGCCTGAAAAGTGTTATAAAAAAGTTCAAATATAATACAGCTCCAGGGCCTGATGGCATTCGAAACCGTTATTGGAAACTGTTCCCCTGTGTCCAAACACCATTACTACACTGTTTCAGTACTCTTGTGGACACAGGTGATGTTCCTCCATGGTTCTGCAAAGGTCGCACAATACTTCTCCCCAAGAAAGGAGACTTGACTGATCCCAAAAACTTCCGCCCTATCACATGTTTGAATACACAATACAAAATATTCACAGGGTGTTTGACAAACCTCGTGTCATCTTACTGCTCTTTAAATGATATAATTTACAGAGAGCAGAAGGGAGCAAGAAAGGGATGTTGGGGGTGCAAGGATCAACTTCTTGTACAGAAAATGATTTTGGAAGAGGCTAAAACATATCACCGCAACCTCTCCATGTGCTGGATTGACTACAAAAAAGCATACGACTCTGTCCCTCACGAATGGATTCTAAAGTCTCTTCATTGTATTGACGTCCCTGAGCGACTACTTGATTTACTCAAGTCTTTAATGAGTTGCTGGTCGACTCAACTTGAGATGTACTCGCAAGGGCAGGTGCAGACTTCGGAATCTATTCCAATCAGAAGGGGGATATTTCAGGGGGATTCCTTTAGTCCTTTGCTTTTTTGTCTGTCTTTAAATCCTTTGACCTTTCTGCTCAATAAAGAGGAGGGTTACCATCCCGGACCTCCTCAGCACAGATCCCTAACACCGCTTACTCATCTCCTTTACATGGATGACATCGAGCTCCTTGCCAAAGGAGATTCCAATTTGAAAGAGCAGGTTCTCCTTGTCGAGTCCTTTTCTAATGATTATTGGCATGACATTTGGACTCGACAAATGTAATACTCTTCATTTGAAACGAGGGCAAGGTAACTAATGACGGATCGGTCAAGTTACAAGGGGGAGGAGTTATTGAGCATCTTGTGGAAGATCAGGCCTACACCTATCTTGGAATGCAAGGTCGAGATAAGCTCCAGAATGCCCAGATTCAAGACAAACTTCGGGCTGAGTACAAATCTCGTTTAAAGAAAATCTGGAGCTCAGAGCTAAATGATCGAAACAAGGTCAAGGCCACCAATACTTTTGCTGTGCCAGTCCTTTCTTATTCCTTTGGAGTAGTTGATTGGACAAAACAAGACATCCAGAGTCTTGACCGTCTGACCAGAAGGATCATGTCTGATAATAGAGCCCACCACCCTCGTTCCTCTCTTAACCGTTTATACATGCCAATCAATTCTGGAGGTCGGGGTTTGATTAATGTGGAGGCTCTTCATGATAGAATTTTATTGTGTACTCTTGCACATATTTATTTATCGGATGATCCTCTGGTGATGCATGTGAAGACTCATGATGAAAGCAAGGAATTCCAGAGCTATTTTAAGCGTGCCAAGGTTGTTGGACAGAATCTGAGATTTGAGGTTGATTTTGTTGATGGCGATGTACTGCTGGACGGTACAGTGATGGGAGTAAACCAGGTGAAGTCCTTCACCAAGTCTGCCCAGAGTCGGTCTTTTGTGGAGAAGCTTTCTGAGAAACCATTGCATCGTGTGTACATGCAGTGTGTTGAACAGAATAGAAATCCCACCGACTCTTTCGCCTGGATGAAGTCGGCTGGTCTTAAATGTGAAACTGAGGGCTTCTTTTTTGCTGCTCAGGAGCAGTCACTTCCCACTCGCAATCGCCTAAATGTGATTCTTAAAGAAAATATCAACATGAAATGTCGACTTTGCAATGAATTCACAGAGACTGTCCAACACCTTGTCAGTGGATGCCCTTCCTTGGCACAAACAGCATATCTTAAACGACATGATGGCATGGCTCGTTGCTTTTACTACCGTCTCTGACATGCCTGTGGCTTTGACTCCGAGGTCCATCCGTGGTACGACCCTGAACATGTCCAGGGTGTCATGGAAAATGATGCTTTCAAACTTCTGTGGAATAGGCCCATATACAGCCTCAGAAGAATTCCAGCCAACAAACCTGATCTTGTCCTTTTTGATAAAGCCAATGAATTTATATATATCATTGAGTTTTCTGTCCCTTTTGACACCAATGTGATTGGCAAGATTCAGGAAAAGCATGATAAATATGCAGACCTCGCCTTTGAAATGTCTCGCTTGCACCCAAAGTACACCGTCGTCAGGCTCCCCATTGTTCTTGGTGCCCTTGGTTTGGTACCTCCTGATCTCTTGGCGCAGATCCGGAGAGTTCCCGGGTTCTCCACCGGGAGCACAGCCCTTCTGACACTCTGGGTAATGCAGAAGGCTGCAGTGTTGGGGAGCCTTCATATTCTCCGGAAAGTTCTTGGTGGGTTCGACTAGGCAGTGTTTCCTGGGAGAAGTCCCATTCGCTGTCTGGGCTGCGTGTAGAGGGGGCAAGGGCCCTGAGCTGATGATGAGCCTTACCAGCCTGACTGTGCCAGGATCACCCGAACCCTCTCTGCTGCATACTATCTTTAATCTGTAAAACATAATAATGGCATTTATATAGCGCATCATTCACTAATAAATGCTCTGTGCGCTTAAAGGTTACGTACACATAATGCAGCTATGACCTCAACTAGGGACACTGTTTAGAGCTGATCCCTTATGTCCCCAGTCGTGACCATGACTGATTTATCGATGACGAGCATAAAACCTGTCACTGACATATTGTCAGAATGTTCGGATCGTCATTACAGTGATTAACTGTAATACACAACGAGAGGTCAACAGTTAGCAGGCGTATCTCCAGTGTGTAATATTTCAGCTTCAGCAGCAGGGAGATGCCCATGACACAGCTGCACAAGCTAGATACAGATAGACACTGACAGGGACACACAAAGGATCACAATCTTTTGATGGAGGAACAACAACGTTTCTAAAAACGTAGAGTGTTTTCTGGTCTCTTCTTATGGCCGGTATCGTAAAATGTTGACCTGACACAATTCTCTAAAAAATATATCTTACACGGGCGTTTTTTATTCGTCACAACAGAAATTCTACCATAGATATAATAGTACCACTCTTTTTGTAGAGAATGCTGTGATCGCATAGATGTTTGTGACTTTCTATGATTCTATGTAATAAATCGAGCAATATCACAATAACAATTATAACTTAATACAATGAATACATAAACATATATGTTTCTATAGTTTATTGAAATAAAAAGGGTAATACTTCCGGGTTTGAGCTGTTTTGACACACCTGGCCTCATCTGTTGCTGTGTGGATTAAGTGATACGTTTAACGGCTTGACTTGAAAATAAATGGTTAGAAATACATTTGTTTCAGGAACGTTCAAATGATTCATGTATCATTAAGTGTATGAATCATTTCACTAACCATGTCATGCCTTCTACGAAGATAACTGACGTAACGTGCATAACGTGCGTGCCCAAATGTTACACACTGATTTTTCGGATCCGCTACAAATATCAGATCCAAACTAGACATTACTTTGTTGTTGACAAACAATATTGATCTTCCGTAACTCAGGCTTGTCGTTATAGACGACCAACGGGATAGGGTGGTCAGGCTCGCTGACTTGGTTGACACATGTCATCACTTCCCAATTGCGCAGATCGATACTCATGCTGTTGATCACTTGATCACCAACACCGTGGGGTTCAGGGACCTCTGTCAAGCAAGTCAGCAAGTCTGAAGACAAAATATGATGTCTCCAATTTTCATAACTTATATTCCTAGTTGGATTCCGACAAAAAGCTTTCCACATCCCCCAGAAACCTGTCAAGTGCAGAGTCACTTGTATGGTTTCAACTACATCACCAGCATGTGTTTATGAATCACTATCAAATAGAGATAGCACCATGTGTTCGCAAAGAGGTGATATATCAGCATATCATTTAGGTGTAAATATGATGATAAACATAAAACCAGATAATAATCATTTCTGATTAGCTGTCAAACAGGTTCCAAAGGACGTACCAGGCTAAATAGTGTTGAAAACGTATATATTAAGGTGTAGAACTGGCTCTTGATTTAGATCATAGAGATTGGTAATCGTTAACTAAATATCGATCGATAATATCGGAATTTTGAGCAAAAATGCCAGAAATGACTATTTCTCTTCGCTAGTGAGTGGTGACATGTTTTGGCATGGATCATTAACAAAACATCACTCTGAACATAATTTAGAAGCAGACCATGATTTAAGTCATTTGTTAAAACTGAAAAAGTTCTACCATATTTCCGATTATCGATCATTTTAGCCAGCCCTATTAATCTCTGAGGATCATTCATATCTGTATGACGTGTATATATTGTATCACAACAATGAACATTAATACTTTACGAGGTGTATACATAATATGGTTAAAGTTCAGATCCGTGTAAGTTAATGCTCGTTAACACAAGATAGCATATCAGTGTGTCTGTGTTTTCGGATCGTTACACAGTTTCATCTGGTAATCTGCTGGTAATTTATACTATAAGTTGGAAATGATTGGATGGTTTTGATAATGACAGCCATTAGGTTCGTTGTTGACACAATGGTTTAACAAGCATATCTGAAGCAGCACATTTCGGATCCATTGAAAGGTTTTGAACTTCCGTGCGTCGCAATGATTTGGATCTATTAATACAGCATGCTTCTTCGGGGACTGTTAAATGCTCGTCACTAGCAGTCAGTATCTCAAAACGTGCAGGCGCTGAAAAGTGGCCAGTAGGTAATCATCGTATAAAGTGTTTCCTCCCTGGGACAGGACGGTTCTCCGACATGCAAACGAAGGGGGCTATTTGCTGTTGTTTCAGAAGAATTTACAAGGTAGGATAATTGGCTTTATTAATTAATCTAACAACTTAATGTATGTATATTTGGTGTGGTTATTCATAAAAGTACACTGTAAACACACCAAACACAACTGAAGACTTGGCCAAGTGGTAAATTGGTAAATTGAATGAGAGATTCACATTAACAGTGTCACTGTATATGGTTTTGTCAACTACTGTTTGATTATGGTAGCACTTGCCGAGGAGGACCTAAAACCCGAGGACCTAGGACCTTAAAGACAATCAAACGTAAATTGAATGAGGCATTCACATTAACAGTGTCACTGTTTATGGTTATGTACACTACTGTTTGATTATGGTAACACTTGCCGAGCAGGTATACAAATTTCTCATGTAGTAATGCTGAATTACATGCAACATTGGGTTGATCATACTTTATCAGAACTTTTACTGTATATTCTAGCCTGTCCCTTCAAATACAGACTGGCGGAATCAGTTGTCGGAGGAAGAGAAGAACGTATACCTGACAGAAAAGACATTGCTGCTTGTGTCGGAGAACCTAGGGGAAGGTTGGGAGGCGGTTGGCGTCCGTCTAGGGCTGACTTATGTGTGTGTACAGAGGTGCAAGATGACTCACTCTACCTGTGTGCTGCAGATCTTTGCCATGTTGAACACGCGGAGGAGGAAGGAAGGTCAGGAGGCTACAGCCGGGAATCTGATGGTTATCCTCCAGCAGAGTCTACAGGTGTGCAATACAGACATGTGGGATGTCGTCGCCGTGTTAAAGGAGCACTGATGATCTAACTCACACTTCAACTCAACGTATCAGTGACAAAAATGATGTCCTATGCAAGTCACTATTTTGACTTATACCATACGTTCCCGAAATATTTTCAGGTTAACAATTGACTAGACTTTGCATATATTTATAACGGGTGGGATAGGAAACACCTGGTATCATCACTATTTCATACTAATGCATAAACATATGCTGTCATCGTATCGCATGGTGATAATCACTTGATTGTCTGGTCCGGACTCGATTGTTCACAAACAAGATCGTACAGCACGAATTCTGCTGAAGCTTACACATACTCATGATTTAGTCACAATCGTATAATCGACTCTGCTTTTAGCTGAGATTTCTTATTGATGTGGAAAAGGTTTTGTCGCTTCTGTTTATGAAAATCAGTAGTTCATTATTTGTACTAAGGAATTATAATGTTTTTTTGTTGTTATGATCACAATTAATGTTTGGGTAATATTTTCCATAAGATTCGGATTAAGAACCGCTTTGGTAATATTTGCTTGTAACTATTGCTGTTTCAGATACTCTGTATATAAAAGTAATATACAACACATGCTGTCTTTGTGAAATGCAGTGGATCATTATTTAGAAATAAAAATAATGTCTGGGCATCCTTTGTTATCGTTTTGATGATGGCCCCGACATGTTACAGAAACCCAACTGTTGATCTTGGTAACCGCTTGTCTGGAGTAGTGAACTTGGGTTAATATGCTTTTTGACACTTTTCTACAACATTTCACTTATGTGCGTTTCATAAATGACAAACATGTTTCAGATAATATACGGCGACTGCTGATGTTTTGTAATAACCAAACGGTTTTAATTCATATTGCCTATTGGCATGAATCCAGGTCCTATGGTTTTAATCGAATCCGAGGACCAAGGGCACTTCCGTTTCAGTATAAAAATATTTTGTTCGACAATATAGTATATGTCAGGTTAAATGCATTTGGCTCAATTAGATATTTTTTGTAGATGCCATAATTAACTTTAGATTACAAATTGTGAATTGTGCTGATCAGAACATTTATTTTTTATCTATGATTTTAAAAAAAGATCGAATAATGTATGCATTCTAAATGACGTACATGCATCCATGAAGTATATTTTGGGTGACATCATGTACTGCCCGTCATCACTCTGTCATATTAAAGTAGTGTTTTCAGCTGTGCGAAATCTCTACGCACTCGTATGTCTGGGGTTAGATGCTATGTCTATGCATGAGTACCCATACATTACACCGACTTTTCGGATCAGACACAAATATCGGATCCAAACTAACGCTTCTTTGTTGATTGTTTACGCTCGGTGATGTGCCAGCTTTATGACAGTGGTCTGTGAATAATCGAGTCATCTATGCATTTGGTATACAAGGACATGTATCAACCAAGTCAGCGAGCCTGGCCACACAATCCCGTTAGTCGCCTCTTACGACATGCATTGGTTGCTGAAGTCCCGGATCTAAATCTCTCATATCAACACATAAAACCATTGACGATGACATTGACGATATAAACCAAAACAAACAACAGCACACTTATACTCAAAATACTCAATATCTGTTCTGAAATGACATTTTATTTCCGGAAATGTCTGTAAGCTGACAAATGTCACATAAGTGTTTTACAATTCAGAGACGTCTTTAATTCGAATGAAGGTTTCCGTAAATATATCAAATCATAGTAACAAATGTTCACCAGCAATGGTCACTGCACTGATGCAATATCTTTTGCCCTGAACCCAAATTAGTTCCAACGTTAAATGAATTAGTTGTTGGAAATGAAACCAACCCAAGTGAAAATCTGTATATATACACACAAATAGCAGCAACGGGTAGTTTGGAACAGGTTAGTAACTTCATAACTCAGACATAACTTAACACAGGAGATGATCAGTAATAGTAATCTCTAACGTAATTAAGTTCCATTGTATATGTTCTTCATACATCCAGATGCGACACAGTCAATGGTCTTGAACAAATGTGGTCCTCATGTTTGCAGCGCCTACCGGTGATAAACGTTGTGAATATTAAGTAGTGTGTTGAAAACATTTGACTACAGCAAACATGTCCACTGTACAGGTATACACACTCTCCTGGAGGACATTCACCAGCACGTCCACTGTAGCCTTCCCACTCTCCTTCATCCTCCACTTTTCCAGCATACAGTGAGGCAGCTTACACCTCTGTACACAAGCATAGGACAGTCCCAGTCGGAGTCCGACCGTCTCCCAACCTTCACCCAGGCACTCCGACACCAGCAACACAACTCTCTCCGTCACAGGAGCCATCCGTTGTTTTTCTGTCAGATGACTGGCCCAGTCGTCCTCTCTTGAACACTTGTCCTGAAACAATGATATGTTCATTTTGAGAAAGGAAAATGTGCTTTGAAGTAAAATTAAGGGCAATGAAATGTTCAGCACATATTAAGTTCGTATGATGCAGTTTTGAAACAGATGCGAATAACTATACGAAACTGTTTGATTGTGACAACTGATTGTAAATGTGAACATATCACGTTTAAGTCATTCATAACACTCAGGGCTGTTATTTTCCTTTGGCTGATTGTTGGAGTTGTTATGTTGTCTTATAATTCCTATCAAAGATGAAGGTTTATGTCCTATGTATGTCCACTACAATGAAACTTATGTACATGTTAAACATATAACAATCAGTAGAATTATAATTGTACATGGGGTAGGAACATTCTGTGCTGTATTCTACACTAAACTTACACCACGATAGGGCATTTCATCTGTTATGTCCTTCCTTGTAGTCTCCTCTTCCAACTCATCAGTCGCCTTCAGAACCTGTGGTGCAAGGGAGGTAATTATGTCTATGTACCTTGGTAAAGATTGCTGATCATAATACAAATGATGCGAGATGTGCACAATATGACCTGCATTGGAAATGCTCGATACGCAGATAAGGGGAAACGATTGATCAAGTATACACGTGTTATGATGGTGTTACAATAGGTGATGCTGGTATTTTTTTTCACTGAACCCGGATTTAAAAATGTGTCCCTGTGACGTGTACTTCGTGAAGATATTCGGATCCGAGGTAAAACAGCGAAGACTCTGTGTGTACAAAATATGATAGAATCCTCCATTCTGATGTTACATAAAGCTTACTATGTTATTGTAGTTACGTGTAACGATCAATTAATAGTTCAGAGTGGATAGTAAGACAAAATAAACAGAGACATTGGGGCATTTTGTTACATTTACGTACATACAAATTACACTTCACGCAATCATTGACTGAATAAGTATGTCAACAACGTACCTGGTGACATGCTTGGCTACAGCATATTAGCCACTGAAAAGTCATCCTACATAGCCGACAAAATAAACAACAGTTGTTCCGTTCCTTCATCCTCCCTGTGTAAGACCACTGAGGCAACTGAGAGAGCGACGTAGCTGTCCAGTGTTTGTGTCCCAGTGAACATGCGCCGACTGGGGTCTGTGAAAAGCTTATAAATAACTCCACTGCTCTCATTGGTTGAATCATTCTTCGGATCCTACAGTTGACGTGCATACATAAAAACCTCTTTGAAGAGGACTTTTATTAAGTCGAGTGTTTTGAAAATGTGGATACAAATTTGATGAACATTTATAAAAACTGCCGGAAAGATTGAAAGGTTTTTCAGCTACTTATTGTGCTGGACAGATTGGCGGTTATATACACTCAGGTCAATAATTACATGTAAATTCAAGCACCATATTTGTCGGATTTCCCAACTGACTGCTTGTGCTTCGAGGGATCTATGGTCTGCATATTTATATAACTCCAGGACTGAAATAATTTTCGGATCCGCCAGCTAATCACAGCCAATCTGTAAATATCTGTTGTGATAACGTGGATGATTCATGACAGGCTTAGCAGGATGTTATCTCATCCCAGCACCATATTTTGGAAGTGAAGTACATGGACTTGCTATTACAGCTGATTTTGTTCCGTGAATTGAGTGGATCTCTTCCATGTACTACTTTATTGGGTCAGCATGTAATGTCATGACGAGTCGTGTCAGTGACCATTTCAGTTAATTCCAATTCTGATAGGGGTTCTTGAACTTCCCCATAACGTCACGTGACACCCACACCCCAACCACACACTTTTATGAAACAACTAAAACAAAACAAATACAAAACATAAACAAAACAAAAAAACATACCAAGCCAGAACCAAACAGCACACACACGCACACACACACACACGCACGCACGCATGTACGCACACACAAAAAAAACATTTCCCCAGAAAGCCAAATAGAAATACCCCAACACTTACAATTGATAACATTTAAACTGGATGTTTCTTCAGACAGGACTAAAGCTTTTAAATGTGACTTCCAAGCTGAAACTGTGTAATGCACATTCATTCACAGAAAATATGTAAAACCTATATGAATCATATCTATCCACGACAATAGTCACAGTTACTACTGGAGACAGCTATAAGCTGGAGGGTTCTATGTCCCTTCTGATAATGTTATCTCCTGTTACCTTTTTCGTCGGATCGAGCTTATAACTGACTCGACTGCTTTGTGTCTATATATTGTAGTATATGTTTAGTGGTTTTTAATGCACTATTAGATGTTCAGTTGATGCCTGTGTGTCATACCATATGACAATACATATGAAGTATAATTCCCTATACTCGTGAAAATCCAGGTGGAATTGGTCTTTAGTAACCCATGCTTGTCGTAAGAGGAGACAAACGGGATCGGGTGGTTTGGCTCGCTGACTTGGTTGACACGTATCCAAATTCGTAGATCGATGTTCATACAGTTGATCACGGGATTGTCTGGTCCGGATTCTATTATTTACAGTCCTCCGCCATATAGCTGGAATATTGCTGAGTGCGGCGTAAAGCTAATCTCACTCACTCACTCACAATAATTCCATATAAACTATATTGTCCCTCATGTCGCTATACATGTCTGCCTTCATGGTGTAGTGGGCAGGGTGTCTTCCTGGAGAGCGGATGGTCAGTGGTTCGATCCTCATCTGCCAAATACAGACATACACTGAAAGACGGCTCTTGTTGCTATTCTGCTGGCACCCGGTATTTAGTTAATAAGCACATGTTGGTTTACTGTGTGTGACTGGTGTGACCATGTTACACTGTAGCATAGTGTCTAAGTGGGCCAGTACTGCAAAACTGGAATCACTCCGATCTAGTAAGATGGACACGAGGACAACATGGATCGTTATCCGCTTAGGTCATTTCAGCCACTACTTTGCTTGTTCCAGTCAACATCTTCTGAGGTATAGTTAATTTGCAGCTCATGGACTGGTTGCAAGTGTCAGGCTTGCGACAACCGTCGGATTCAGCTGTGGAAAAACTCGGAATCGCAAAGTTCGGATCATATATCGAGTCCTGTGTCATGTGTTCTGTTGTAGTTTCGGATCCTGTAAATCTTTGTGCTGCATGATTTGTTTGTCAAGACAGCCACCTGTCCATGAAAATGATTCTTTTACCCTTAACGAATCTAGTTTATAGTTTACAAACTATATATATTCACAATACAAACAATGGCTCCGATTTTAGCAGCAATCTGAGAGTTGTGAAGAAATCCGAAAAATATCATTTTACCTTCCTCAAAGCATTTAGAATCTCGGGATCATCCCCATAACCCCGTGACCACCCATTTACAAATAATGCAACAAGGATGCATTGTCTGGTGGTGAGATGAGTTCGAGTTACAGAGGCCTCTCCACTTGCGTGTATATGTAATGGAAGCACTAATGTTTGTGAGAGTAATTTTCGGATCAGGTTCACATGTGTTGTTATCATCGATCATTCGTGAAGGTCACATGTGTAATCTCTGGGATCCTTAACACCAGAGCCTGACAACTGATAAAAGCTACCGATAGGATAGCAACAACGACATATTTTTTTGATAAATACCCTTCCGCATATTTTCAAGAACAAAATACTCATTGTACATGATGTTTTATTCATATTCTATGACATAAAGTATAATTATATATGTAAGCAATATATCAATCTAACACTTATATACAGGCTACGTATACATTTATATGAAGACGTTTTGCAGCTATGACCTCAACTAGGGACACTATATGAAGGCAATTCCTGTTGTTCCCAGTGGTGACCTGACATATTTATCGATGACCAGCGTAAAACCTGTCACTGACATATTGTCAGAATGTTCGGATCGTCATTGAGGCGACACTCGTGTAACTGTTATACACAGCGAGAGCTCAGCAGTTATCTGATCAGGCGTATCTCCAGTGTTAGCAGGCGTATCTCCAGTGTTAGCAGGCGTATCTCCAGTGTTAGCAGGCGTATCTCCAGTGTTAGCAGGCGTATCTTCAGTGTTAGCAGGCGTATCTTCAGTGTGTAATATTTCAGCCTCAGCAGCAGGGAGATGTCCATGACACAGCTTCACAAGCTAGATACAGACAAACACTGACACAGACACACAAAGGATCACTTTCTTTTGATGGAGGAACAACAACGTTTCTACAACGTAGAGTGTTTACTGGTCTCTTCTCATGGCCGTTATAGTAACATGCTGACCTGAGTTTATATGACGCACATATGTTTCTTATTCGTCACAACAGAAATCCCACCATGGATACAAGGTGTGAATGTTTCTCAGTATAATAGTGTTGAAGCCATCCTTCCTCATCTGTGTACGAGCATAGAACACTCATGAATAAGGTTCTTTTTAGGATGTGAAGCAGGTAGATATGATATCGGCCCATATAACTGTGAAGAGAAATATATTAGACCAAAATACGTTCTTTCCTGCGTGCAGCGTTTACAAGTACATGTTTCCTGCAGCTTCTGGTTACAGCTTTTCCTTTGACTCACATCATAAATCAAATCCATGACATTTACTCCATTGTCTTCAACAGCAATACAACGGCGTCCACATCAACATCACACACGTGAACAGAGTCTGCCAGAACATCCATCAGAACCCTAACCGTAGCTTGTGTCCCAGCTAACTGCCTCCACGTGTACATCATGTGAAACACCTGCATGTGATGCGAGAAGTGTGACATCTTACATCTGTCTATGAACGCCTTGGGTAGGCCCAGTCTTATGCCCACTGCTTCAAATCCCTCCCCAATATGCTCAGCTACACGCAGTAGAAGCTGCTCCGAGAGACAGGAGTCCTGAATAGCGTCAGTCAGAGGTATTGTTGAGCCACCATCGCTGGATAATGGCTGCAAACATAAATATAATAGTACCGCTCTTTTTGTAGAAAATGCCATGATGGTACAGATGTTTGTGACGATTAATGACTTAATGTAATAAATCGACCAACATCACAATAACAATTATATCTTAATACAACAAATACATAAACATATATGTTTGTCCTACCTGAAATTCAAACTGTCCATAGCAGCAGAAAATCCCCCTGAAGAGAAAAAGATAATCGTCTCTTAAAAAATCCTCTGTACAAATAATCTCCGACGGAACATGTTCAGTCAGTTCTCCCCTGAAGACATAGGACATCTGGGCTCAATGGCAGCTCGTTACGTTATGCATGTCCCATGCAGTCGATACAGGTTGTGGTAACGTAACGGATCACAATTTTCGGATTTACTTGAAATAGTTTTGACGTGTTACTATTTATAGATACGTCATTCTAACCCTGTCTATCATTGGGAAAGAGTGCTTGGTCAATAAAATGTCTCAGCATCTAACCTGACCACTCTTGAAAAACAAATATGAATTTGAAATAGTTCAAATAAATATTTTGCATCTTCATACATGTAAACTGTTTGTATCACTGTTGATAGAAATTTTGCACTTGATTGTGATTTCGCCCAATTTGAAACATACCCAACATTAATGTTTTTATGATAAGAAGACTATAATCTACGATACATGCTTCAACTTTACAAGCAAGGTGTGGTCCGTTTCTAGTTTTTTTAAAAAATAAAAAGGGAAATACTTCCGGGTTTGAGCTATTTTGACACATCTGACCTCATCTGTTGCTGTGTGGAATAATTGATACGTTTAACGCCTTGACTCAATTTGAAAGTGAATGTTTAAATTTGTTTCAGGAACGTTCAAATGATTCATTTATCATTAAGTGTATTGATCATTTCACTAACCACGAAATGCCTTCAACAAAGATGACTGATGTAACGTGCATACATGCATGCCCAAATATTACATTGATTCTTCGGATCCGCTACAAATATCGGATCTAAACTAGACGCTACTTTGTTATTTACACTGCACTGAGAACTATGCCACCTAAATGACAGTGGTCTGTAAATGATCGATTGTGGACCAGACAGTGAAGCCAGTTTTAACCCGATCTTCACGGGTGGATGATATGGTTCAAATTATTTATATCAATACGAAACTCACATTTCCAGGATTTTTGGACAAGAAACAAATATAGAAATGTTCCTTCTCCACAATATTGCGATTTGTTTCAAGACGTAAGCTCAATGGTGGAATACTTATACGTATCTTTGGTTGGCAGTGACATTGAAACAACATCCTTGTGAAAAAGCAAACGAACTGCACACACGGTACATGCTAACACTACATCAACTCCAAAATGCTCAATGTACATTTATGAAAGGACTTTTTTATTCCGTGTTAGGCATGTTAATTTACAGTGATTAAACTCTTATCACATTATTATTTTTCAATTCAGAAAAGTCTTTATCTCTAGTCTTTGTGTCCGCCTCCGTGGTGTAGTGGTTAAAGCATCCGCCCGGAGATCGGAAGGTCGCGGGTTCGATCCACGACCGCGTCATACCAAAAAGACGTTAAAATATGGTACTTGTTGGTCCCTGCCTGGCGCTCGGCATTAATGGGTACAACAAGGACTGGTCGGCTCGGGGTCTGAGTGGGGTGGGTATTCATGCTTCACTGCGGCATGGTATCTCAGTGGGCTAGCACTATAAAACCAGCTTAAGTCTGGGCTAGTACAAGCAGCCGCACATACACATACACATGCACGTCGTCATATGAGCGAAATATTCTCAAGCACGACGTAAAACCCAATTCCACCTCACCTCTAGTCTTTGTTTCTAAATAGTAGTGACAAATCATCACCAAGAGTAATCATTAAACTGATCATATATGTTTTTCCGTGGAACCAAATTAGTTAGGCGCAGGAAATTGATAAAAGGAGATGACCAGTAATAGTAATCTCAGACGTAACAGACTTTTGTGTTATTTCTAGATTCAAATGCAACACAGTCAATAGTTTTGAAGAAATATAATCCTCATTTTGCCGAGCCTACCGGTGATATACGTTGTGAATATTAGGCAGTGTGTTTAAAACACCTGACTACAGTAAACATGTCCACTGTACAGGCATACACACTCTCCTGGAGGACATTCACCAGCACGTCCACTGTAGCCTTCCCACCCTCCTTCATCCTCCACTTGTCCAGCATACAGTGAGGCACCTTACACCTCTGTACACAAACATAGGACAGTCCTAGTCGGAGTCCGACCGTCTCCCAACTTTCGCCCAGGCACCCCGACACCAGCAACACAGACTTCGTTGTCACAGGAGCCATCCGTTGTTCTTCTGTCAGATGACTGGCCCAGTCGTCCCCTCTGAAACAAAAACAAATGTTCATTTTGAGAGAAGTAAATGTACTGAAGTAAAAATAAGGGAAATGGAATATTCAACACAGTACATATTAAATTCGTATGGTGCAGTTTTGAAACAAATGAAAACAACCATACGAAACTGTGCATGTGTAATGCTATCTGCAGGTAAATATGAACCAATCAGGTTTCACTCATTCACAATCCTTAGGGCTACTATTTTCCTTTTCTGATTGTTAGAATTATGTTGTCTTATTCCTTTAAAAGAGGTCGAGATTCTCATCTCATGTATGTCCACTACAATGTCACCTTTAAGAATTATACATATGTATATATTGAACATATTGTAACACTCAAGCGAATCATAACTGTACAGGGGCAGGTTAATTCTCCGTTGTATTCTACACTCAACTTACACCACGATCGGGCATTTCATCTGTAATATCCTTCTTTTGAGTCTCCTCGTTGAAGTCATCAATCTCCTTCAACATCTGTGGTACAAGGGAGATAACGTTGCTATGTCTATTGGTCGAGATTGCTGATCAAATAATGCAACATACAGAAAATATGACCTGCTTAAGCTATAGGATAATGTTCTGTACGCAGATAGCCGGAAAAGGATTAATCAAGGATACACGTGTACTGATGGTGTTACAATAGGTGATGCTGGTGTTGGTTTTTGTAGAACCCGGATATAAATATGTGTCCCGGTGACTTGACTGTGATAAGATACTCTGATCCAAATTCCGATCCTCGGTATATCAGTGAAACATATGATATAATCCTATATTCTGATGTTTAAATAAAGCTTTTTATGTTATTGTAGTTACATGTAACGTTCAATTTTATATTGCAGGGTGGGTAGGAAGACAAGATGAACAGAGAGAGAGACAGACAGTCGGGCGTTCAGATATATTGACATTTTACATGAACAATCACACAATCAAATTCTTCAAAGGCATTTAGAAGTTGGTGTAGTAATACAAGACAAATCTTATGGATAACAACTTCTTGATTTATTTTCAGGTGGATCCACCTGAACAAGGGGCAAGAACTAGCCCAGAAACGTTGTGAAAAATAAATCAAGAAGTTGTTATCCATAAGATTAGTCTTGAATCACACATTCATTGACTAAATAACAATGCATTACGTACCTGGTGATATTCTCTGCTGTAGGATAATAGTCACTGAAAAGCCATTCGATATAGCCGACCAAATAACAACAAATCCTCCGTTCCTTCATGCTCACTGTGTAAGTATGACCTCTGATTCAACTGAGAGAACCAAGAGAGAGACCAGTGAAACGCATATAAATAACTCGATTGCTCTCATTGGTGGAAACATTCTTCTGATCCATCAGTAAACGTGCATTCATGAAAACCTGTTTGAACAGGAATTTTATTAAGTCGATATTTTTTTGAAAATGCGGATACAAATTCAATGTACATTTATAAAATCTGCTGGACTGACTGACTGAGTTTGGTTTTACGCCGCTTTTAGCAATATTCTAGTAACATCACGGTGGGGGACACCAGAAATGGGCTTAACACATTGTACCCATGTGGGGATTCGAACCCGGGTCTTCGGCGTGACGAGCCAACGCTTTAACCATTAGGCTACCCCAAAGAACAAGCATGTTTCGGTATTGAATTAAAACAAATAATGATGAGTTTATTATTTATCTAAAATTGCTAGTTCTACTTTACGCTGACGATACAGTCCTCTTAGCTGAAACTCATGATGATTTACAACATGCACCGAATAAATTCGCTGTATATTGCGACACATGGAAACTTAAAGTAAATATTAGTAAAACTAATATTATTGTTTTTGGTTCCGGACCTGCAGCTAGTTATAAGAAATTGTTTACACTATATGATGATAGAATAGAAGTTGTAGACACTTATAAATATCTGGGAACTCTACTACACAGAAATGGTCGTATGAATTTTGCTGTTAAACACATAGCCGATCTTGGTATGAAGGCATCAATAGCGTTACTAAAACGTGCCAGAAATGTTAAGTTACCACTGGACCTGCTCCTTTCTGCATTTGATAGATTAATAGTACCAATATTGATGTATGGATGTGAAATATGGGGACATGAGAAGACTGACATGATAGAAAGAGTACATCTAAAATTTCTTAAATTAGCAACTGGTTTAAAATATAACACCCCTAATTTCATGGTGTACGGGGAGCTTGGTAGGGAACCTATTCAGCTTCAAATTTCGAAACGACTTATCTCGTACTGGTGTAAATTGACATTATCACATCCAAATAACAAAATAGCAACTTTCATTCTTCAATATATTACTAAACAAAACAAAACATTGAATAACTATGTCTGGCTTAGTCATATTAAAGATATTCTCTGTAGGTGAGGATTGCCTGACGTTTTTGACAACCCTCATCTATACTCAAATTCATGGATCATTTCAAATGTTGAATCTATCTTAAAGGACCAATTTTTACAATCGTGGACGAGCGATATGCAAAATTCCTCTAAAGGAATATACTATAAAGTTCTGAAGCGCTCTCCAAACTTTGAACAATACCTACTTCTCTCAGATGCTATTTCTAAACCGATCCTAAAATTTAGAACATGCAACCATAAACTCCCCATAGAAACAGGGAGATGGCAAAATATACCAAAAGAACACAGAGTTTGTAACTTATGTGACTCACATTTGGTCGGAGATGAGTTCCACTATTTGTTTAAATGTAATTATTTTGCAGACATACGTAAATCGTTGTTAAAAGAACCTTATAGTTACTGGCCAAATTTATCGAAATTCCGTCAACTGTTTTCAAGTAAAATATCTACCCTTAAAAATGTATCCAAGTTCATCAAGATTGTTTGCAAACACTTTAATTGATGCATCATTTAGTCATCTTGTTGTACATATTGTATGTAACATACCTCTTTGTTATACTCATGTACCACCGATGGTGGATTATTTTGAGTAATAAACGTGTGATGTTGCTACCCCACCGCCCCTAAAAAATCTGCTGGAACGTTCGAAAAGCTATTGTGTTGAAGGAGTGAATGACAATGATATACAGTGAAAGTAATTCTCGGATCAGGTTCATATGTGTTGTTATCATTGATCACTTGTGATTTATATAATTTCATCGTCTCTGATTATTATTGGTGTATGCATGCCTACTGTTCTCATGTTTAATTTCCATTATCCATGTGGCGCACCTTATCACCTGCAAGAATGAATGTGGCCTCGTTTACTGAATAAACGTCTCGCACGTGAGGGACACGTGTCTAATTCCTGGGACCCGTAACACGAGAGCCGGCCACAACTGACAATAGTTACCATAGAATATGTGGGTAAAATGCTGAACTCGGTGTTACGTCCCCTCAGTTACATATATCCAGAGTTGTGTTCTTTCAATGAAGTGTAAATAAGGGACATATTCCTTTTTATATCCGAAAGTACTGCATGTTGTTGTTTTTTGTGCTTGTAAGTCAACTATCGCCTTTCA